TTTGAAAACAAACATTTGTAAAAACCGAAAATGAATTATTCTTTTGCACGGTTTAATTTTTTCGTTGTTCTAAATTCTCACGATATGAATTCCAGAATTAACTTGGAATTCTGCTCTGAATTATCTTGAAATTGTTCTGAAATAAGCCAGAAAACACCCCGCGTAATAATTACCAGTGAATTCTTCTTGGAATTTCCTTGCAACTCCTTCTAATAATTTAATTGGAATCCTTCTTAAAATACGCCTTCTTAATAGAAACTAAACGATCGATTCAACCTCTGGTGGCAAATAGGAGGACGTTAAAAAGAGTGTTGTGAGCAGAAATGTTTGTCGTGAGACATAGGAAGCGGAACACTTTTTTACTTTTCCTGATAAATTTATTCATCTGAGATGCTCCAAAACTTGATTTACAGTTTAAAAATGTAATTCTGTATAGTTTTTGCAAGAATCCTGCTAGTGTCCAGGAATATTTTTGGTGGGAAAAATGGAAAATTATAAAAGTGCCTTAGTGGCTATTATATTCTGGATTTGTATATGAATAGTTCAAGTGCAAATCAGTTCAGATCTGTGAAGAATCGTTAAATATGGCAACTACTGATGGAAATTGGCAAGATGTTGAATGAAAAATGCTCTAATTTGCGTTGTGAAAAATCCTCATTCTGATGTAAACAAATGGTTTGGCTGACGTTAAACGGGCCCTTTTCTATTGTTTCCTCTCGAATTCGCTTGGCGCACTCTACATTGGTAGTGCATTAAAAAGACCTATTCTCTTGAGCCTATCCTGACATTTCGATTCCTTTGAAAATCTTTTAACTCTATTCAAAACAGCAGATCTCTTTCGAAATGTTTATTTAGAAACCCTTGGGAGTATTCTAAAGAATTACTTTCTAATGATCAGCAATTTTTTTTGCAATTAATTTTGTTGGAGTTCTGTGATGAATCTTTCGCACTAGGGTTGAAATTATTGCCAGAACACTCTTAGAACTCTGTTTCTTGTTGAATTCTGATCATAATTCTCCTGGAATACTTCTTCTGTCATTTTCCTCACGATCCCCATACAAATCTCCTCAATATCACGTAGGAATTTCCGCAAAGTTTTGTTTTGTTTGTCCTTTTGAAATCTTCTAAAATTACCTAACAATTTAATTTAGAACATGCATTCTTCTTCACAGAAATCCCTCCAAATACATCTAAAAATTTCTAAGAATTTCATGTCAGAATAATTCTGGTATTCTGCTCAGAACTTCTCATTCGAAAGCTGTGTGGGAATCCTTCTCTATATTTGTTTGAAATCAACACTTTGAATTCTTTTAAATTGTACTAAAAACTCCAGGGTTTGTCCACTAGATTCTATAGAATGTTCTGTAATTTGTTATAACCATCAAAATGCCCCTTCAAATCTGTGATTTTGATTTTTTTTTCAAAATCTCACATTTTAATTATTTTTCTACAAATCTTGTATCACGAAGGTTATTATTAATCACAGATTTTGAAATAAAAGTTCTAGTTTCAAACTCTATTCAAATTAAAAGCCCCACGATCTTGGGAATCTTCTTAAATCACATTTATCCCTTCAGTAAATTCCTTTCAGCACGTTCTTAAAAATGCGTTCAATTTCGTTTTGTTTTTGTTGAATATTAACAACCGGGAATTTTTTAAGATTTAAACCGGGAAAACCGGGAATTTCCAAATGAAAATTCACTGGCCACCCTGCACCAAGCTTGCTTCAAAGGTTCTTCTTTTTAGCAGCTTCCTGGTGATATAAGAAGTTCTCTGAAAAAGTTTCCTGGATGTCAAATAAAATCAGCAAATTGTTGAGCAATTCAGATAAACCAAAAATATTTCAAAAGGTTCTTGATTTAATCTTTATATTCTCCTGAGACTACCTAAAATACATACCTCTTTAAATTTGTCTGAGGCTTCCTGCAATAGACAATCACCCCAGTATAATGGGTCACCCACAATTATGAGCCACTTCCATTTGATTAACACGCAGAACCGACTGACCCATAATACTGACTGGCTGGCCCATAATACTGGGGTGACTGTATATTGTAGGAAGCCTCAGACAAATTTAAAGAGGTATGTATTTTAGGCAGTCTCAGGAGAATCTAAAGATAAAATAAAGAGCCACAGAAACACTATACTAAGACGTTTAAAGATAACCTCAGAGAAGCTCAGGGGAACTTACGACAAGTTCATGGTACTTGAAAGAACTTAAGAGAACTTCACTAAAGTTCAGGTTTTATGACCGTTAGATGCTAAGAAAAGTACGAGTAATTATAAAAAAAAACTCAGAGAAGCTTTAGCCTTAACAAAATAAGGTGCCGAGAGCTTCGAGGAAGCTCATAGAAGTTCGTTGAACTTCACTCTTAGTTTAGTTCAAAGATGTTCAGAGAACTTCATATAAGTGCACAAAAAACCAATCAGCAAGGCATTATTGAGGAAGTTTAGGGCACTTCGTGAAAGATCAGGTACCTTCGGAGAAGTCCAAGGAACTCTAGGAACAAAATGTGAGAATCAACTGGCCATACAAATCCTACACAAAAAATGGACGATAGTCAACGCAGAGGTGTGTTTATGAACATTTCTTACTTTAATCCGTTTTTTCCAGAGATTTATTAACTTTTGACCAACTTGTGAATGATACATGAAGTCGAATTTGTTGTTACTTCTTTTGAGATGTGAGTTCTTTTTTTCAGTATATCAAAATTTAATTGAAATTCTGTGATCGACGGAACGACACAGCCCCCTTCGTAATATTACATTCCACAAAAATGTATCCTAGAATCGAATATTTACTTCTTCAAATGTTATTGTATGTTATGAAATCATTGATTAATACGCTAGGGTGGATATTTGCAATCTAATAGGCAACCCTCTAGTTTGCTCCATAATCTCAAAATATGAGCGTGTGAAAACAATGGTAAAGATTGATGATGGCTTAGACCCACTTCCAGTTACGTTCTCGAATTTTGATATCGGCTTCTGATTAGATCGACGGTGGAACTCAGCATTCCAGATCCAGTTGTGAGGCCACCAGGCACGACATGAATATCGACCTGCAGCTTTTGAGTGTTCTCCGTTGATACACACCACGTCTCGTTGGCGTGTAACAACACAGGTTTCACATTTGAATTGATGATTTTTTTTATTTTGATGCCTTGAGTTATCCGGTTAGATCTCCACACATTTCGTAAACTCGCAAAAGCAGCCCTAACCTTTTTGCATCTATATCGCTCTCGGTCCAGCCGTCTGACGCTACCAACATATTAGAAACTTTCGACTCTCTCAACTGCTTGCTTCGCTACCTTAAAGTTGGAAGGGTTGTCCGTGTTGACATCCAAAAAATTGGTCTTGTTGCAAATGGTTTGAAGTTAGTTCGCGATCGTCAGTATAGCCGATATAAGCTATTGTTTCAGTTTACTTTGTTCAGTGGTCCCGGATCGTGATCAAGCGTTGGTGCTAGGGAACTACAGAAAGGTTAAGCGTGCCATCAGGAAGAAAATTCCTTCTGAGCTCGGTTGCAACATGCATACAGGTGTGCGAAGTGTTTATATGTACGTGGAGAAGGAAATTCCATCCACGCCAATTGGAAAGGGAACATTTTCTACGACGGCATCAAAAACACGTGTTACTTATGCAATATGGAGGGGCACCGGAGGTCCGTAAGTAGCCGGAAAAGGTAAAATAAAAACAAGATGAAGATCACATAGGTAGCAGTACATACGCTAGGTGTGGTGGTAGGAGATGCATCGTTGGACAACAACGACAACAGACACTCAAAATGATCGTCCAAGATCAAGTTGTTGAATATTACTGGTATTTGGTTCATCGCATGAAATTCTTCAGATATTCGCCACTTCCCTGGGTGTAAAGATTGAAAAATGTGAAATTTAGGATTGGGCCAATTAGGGCCAAAAACTGGCATATATACCCTATACCATATCTGTTTTATATATATTCTATGACAAAAATAATGACACTCTCTATGCCCAGAGATTTCGAGAAATGTCCCAACCCGAAGAAAAATTGTTGACCGAACCGGGAATTGAACCTTCGCATCTAGTATTTGGCATAGGGAGGCCTCAGATATTTTTCCTTGATTTGTTTTCCGTCGATCTTGTTTTCCGTGCTGAACACCAATGCTACCGACGCCAGGGAGGCAGCTCCCACACCTGGACCCTACCTATCGATCCATCAACTCATGAACCGGGACCAACGGCTTTACTTCCCTTCAGAAGGAAGGCATGATCAGAGATGTTATACCTCAGAACATCCCGGCGGCGCCGACAGGGATTGAATTCAGGCTTGCTGGGGTGAGAGGCAATCACGCTCACCACTACACCACCGGCGCCGCTTACCCCCAGACTTATGTACATACATGCGGATTTCGGCTATTCTGGTTGGCCAAATGGGTTGTTTGGCCGATTTATTTTTATTTTTATTATTTTATAAATTATTCATATATTTTTAATATCCTATACCTGAATTTAGAGGAATTTTGAGATCCTTTACCTTTCTCCTTCCACCTCTAAAGTTTTACGAGATTCTGAACATTGCATCATTTTCTTAATGATCTATACAGTGAAACTGTGATATTTTATGTTTAATACATTAATTTTTCTTATAAACATGAGCAATAGTTTTAGGTTCTGTAGCTGACATGGTATTTGTTACTGATCGTTTACTTTATTGCAAGCGTTGGCACACGTCTATTAAGACCGCTATTGCTACGGAACCACTGGCAACCCTGACTCCGGCAATGCCGACGTTCGAGAGTGAATTGGAAAAGTTGTAACTAGCAGCAGCTTGGCGGCGTAGCAATTCAGTTAGCTTTTGTTTCCCAACCGGGTGAGACGCACATGTCGCGCTGTCGTTGTCGTCATAGCGAACAGTTCGTCGTTGCCGTGTGAAACCCTATTCAACATAACTGTGAGCACCAACGAACGAGTGTGTTCGTGTAGGTGTGTGTGTGTGCAGTTCGGTGCACGCGAGAGAGTGATACAATCCCAACCACCCATCCTCGCACCCCTCGGAACAGACCCATTCCCCCCGCACCTAACACCAACGCGCGCCGAGTGGTGTCAGTCAGGCTATAATCCACTCAAGTCAGCGAGGTTGAAAACCGCGCCGTGGAATCCGCCGCAGTACCGTGTTTGCCGTTTTTCGCGGGTTCTGGTTTTACTGGTTCCGCGCGTCGTTCGTCGGTCGTCGCGCCCTGCCCTTCGTGCGCGCCGCAGCAATCACGGAAACTTGACCGTATGTAGCAGGGAGAGCACCACCAATCGAGTTATTGTTGTTGTTGTTGTTGTTGTTGTTGTTGTTGCTGTTGTTGTTGTGTGTCAGTGCACAAGGACAGGAGATCTGAAAAACGCGCGCGCCAAATAATATCAAAATCCACATTGCTGTATCGAAGAAGCGGTGGAAGACGAAGAAGAAGCTGTTTAAAGCGGAAGAAGCAGAAGAAGAGAAGCGCCGAGCACAGGAGAGCATCAGCAGTGAAGAAGTAGTGTAGTGAAGTGTTCACTAAAAGTGAGTGTGTTTGCCTCAGAGCGATGAGAAGCGCAAGAATTACAGGCAAATAAAAGGTCGTCATAATAATAACAACAGCAGCAACAAGAAGAAGAAGAGAAGAGAGTGGCAATCGTAATAATAAAGAGCAAAGAGAAGAAGGAGCAGCAACTGCGGCAGCACCCTCTAGTAATAATAGCAGCAAAGCAGCAGTAACAACAAAACCGGAGTGAAAGAGAGTATGTGTTGTGTTATTACTTTATACACTACTTGTGATGCATGTGCAAAAACAACATTCGATTATCTCTCCGTCCGTTTGTTGTCCGCTGCCGGTTCTTATCCCCCTTCCCTCCCCCTTGCAGCATGTGCTTGCCGGTTTCCAATCTCTTCTTTGTCAGAAAAGAGGGAAGTAGCGGGAAGGTGGCGTTGAATCCCAGCCAACCAACCAACAACAGTATTACAAGTAAACGCGTTTGGCGTTTATGGCGACCTCTATGTGTTCGCGCGCTGATCGTTAATGATGGCGATGGCGATGCGGCGTTGCCGCGTACCTTCCCAGTGACATCCTCATGGATGTTTGCGATAGCATGGATTTGGAGGTTTTGTTTCTTAGAAGATAGGAAACTGGTGCACTGTGGGTGACTTATGAGGATTAGGTGATGAATGTATCGAGAGCATTGCGGTAAAGCTTTTCTAGTGTATTTGGTTTACGGATTATTTTGTCATCAAAGTACAAATGTGTTAAAGTACTGTGAACAGTCATTACAAGCTTCTGATGCCATCGACGATGGAGCTCAGCATTCGGGAATCAGTTGTGAGGCCACCAACCACTAATTATAGAGCGCAGACCTGTGACTTTCTAGTGCAGCATAGATTTCACGTTGGAATTAACCGGTGAAAGCCGCTTCTGCCGGTAGTCACATGTAGAAGGCCACCCACCTTGAAATGTATGAGCTTGGTAGTTTTGAATCTGAGAATATTTTTCTTCGATTACACAAAAACTAAGACACTGTTGGTAACTTTTGTGGATCCTATGGTAGTGCTCATTTTGCAGATAAGTGCGAAGTTGCTGAGAAAAAAGCTAGAACTAGCAGCTTTGCAAGTTAATTGAACATTCGCATTTTAGTGCGTTGACCAATCTGGTTTGAACTACTGTTGTGTTCGATAAAATAGCAGCACATGCCGATTTCCATACAAAAAAGTCAACTTTGACATGATGTAACTTTGTTGACTTATGATCAATTGAGCTGAAACGTTCGTCACAGAACTACAAATATGTTCAATTTTACGATTACAAAATACCAAATTTTTGGAAGCACCTGTTGGAAAGTGAGACACTAGGTAAAATTGTTTAAAATAATAGCAGTTTTTTATATGAAAATTTACGTGATGCAATTATTTTAAACATTTTTAACTATTATGTACATTTGTTAATTGGGTGGGGATTGTTAGAATTTGAGAAATGTAAAATTTAAAATCTCAAAATTGAGCTGAAATGCAAATTATTAGTACTGCTATTATTTTGAACAATTTTACCTAGTGTCTCACATTCCGGCAGGTGCTTCCAAAAAATAGTTATTTTGTAATCGTAAAATTGAACATATTTGTAGTTCTGTGACGAACGTTTCAGCTCAGTTGATCACAAGAGAATGGAAATCGGCATGCGCTGCTATTATATTGAACACAGGTGTATATACATTCTGTAGACTCGAAACGGCAGCCCTTGTCTTCTTCATTTGTGAATCTCTTGGTTCCGTCATTTGGCGCTATGTGGCTGTAAAGATATTGGAAAATTTCTCCACTACTTGTTCAGATAAAGTTCATAGATCAAGCATAATCCCTTTAAATCGATCGCTAAAACCACGTCCTGCATAGTTAGAGAATGGTAGTGGACGTTAGAGTGTTTTACTCCCAGAGTTTTGGCAACTACTGTTCAATAATTTCGGGACTCTGAAAATGTTTATAAGACCCATGCTCTAACATTTTCAGTGTTTTAGAAACTTTGAACAATTTTTCAGAAAGTGAAGCTACAGTTTTATATTTAAACGTTTTGCGGTCAAAATTACAGCTTCTATCGAAATTTATAACAACTTACGGCCTAATTAACATTTTAACAAATCAAATATGTTGCTACTTACAACGGTCACCATTTTTAGCGGAAATTTGGTGCAAAGTTTCTCAAAATTGTATTCAAACTCTCCTGAGTCAATTTCTTTTGGAATTATCCTCAGAACACATTCTGTTTATCTTCTTTCCTTTATTTAACGTCGGTCTCTGTTCGGCAATCTAGTGCCAATCACCGACGGACATCGATTGCCATCCATTGACGGCAATCGAATGTGCAGGAAGGCAGCTTCCACACCTGCGTAGGATATCGCATCCATTCAACACACATGGGCCGGGACCAACGGCTTTACTTCCCTTCCGAAGGAAGACGTGACCAGAGATTTTTATGCCTCAGAAAAATCCCACCGACCTCGACCGGGATTGAACCCAGACCCATCGGGGTGTTAGAAAGCAGTCAGGCTTACCACTACACCACCGGCGCCGGTCATTCTGTTTATAATTCATTTAAAATTCTTGCCAAATTTTTCTTGGAATTATCCCTAAAATTCACTTGTTATATTCGGCTCATGACCTAGGAGTTCTCCTTGAAGTTCTGTTCATAACAATGGAATTATTCTAAAAATTATTTTGGAATTCAATTCAGGTCTTCCTTTCTTCTGCCCAGAAATGTCTAGGAATTTATCTCAGAACTTTTGACATTGTCTCAGAATTATTTTGGAATCGTGGTCAGAATTACCATAGGATGTTAACCAGAATTTTGTAGTAATCCTTCTCGCCTTTTCATTTAAATTAAAATTTTAATTTCTTTTGAATTCACATAAAATTCTGCTGGTATTCTGCTGGGAATTCTAGAGATTTTTTAAACTGTGGGATCTCTGGACATTTTTGAAAGATGCAGACCCTTGAAAACTACCCAGTGCCAAAATAATGTTTTTTTTTTTAAATCTGGTATCTTGTAAATTTTCCAATTGAGTATTTTGCTCATTCGCATCTATAAAAAAAAAACAAAATCTTTTTTTCTTCTAAATCTAGGATCTTGACGATTTTTATAAAACACAAATCTCGTATGCTCCTTACAAATGTTGAGGTCTCAGAATTAATTTTCTTAATATTTTTTTTAACTTTATGTTTGTACATACTATGGAGTGTTCAAATATTTTTACACTTCGAGATCTCGAGCAATATTACCTAGAACTCTTTTGTATCAAACTCAAGATTTCTAACACATTTTTTTAATTCAATCTCTCACTCTTTACAATTCGGTCTAATGACCCATTCACCTCAAAAGCGTTCGGCCTAGTGACCATGAAAACACCCACAGTTATGGAACACTTCCATTCGATAACAACAAAAGGAAGTGTTCCATAATTGTGGGGAAGCTTTATAAAATGATAACTCTAGTTTCGCTATGGATTTTTTTTCCCACAAATAACCTCGAAAATTTGCAGTTAATCACGTTTTAACAAAAAAAGTTAATGTGTTTTGCTGAATATTATGTTTCGGCAAATTTTTGTGATTTGAACCGAGAATTTAAAAATGAAAATTCACTGACCACCCTAAGATAATTTTCTATTGTTTTGTTTTTTCACATTTCAGGGAAAAATCTTTTAATTTTGTCGAATCTTTTAACGGAATCCCTTTATGAAGAGCTTTTTTGAGTATGTTGATTTATTTCCTTTTAATTCCGTTTTAATTGCTTACCTTTTGACAGATACGTGTATTTCGTCTACTACTTGTAGACTTCATCAGTATCAAGTATTCAACACCACCATTCCGGGAAGCAACTCTAAGTCTTATCAAGCTAAAATAACATGAAAAGCTTCCCAAAAATAGGCTTGAAAACATCAGAATACCACTAGCAACCATCAAAAAGCCAAATTGGTCTTGGAAACGTTAAAATATTTTTTAAAGTATTTAAAAAGAAAACTAATATACTCACCATATTCAAGAATTTTCGTTATGGAATTAAGATATATATATTACAGACATAAAATTAGGAGAATTTCAGGTTGAGATTCAGAGATCCCCGTATTAGGAATTAAGAAAATTTAAGAATGAGATTGCAATACCTGCAGTGATTAAGATACTTCCTAAAAGTGATTTGAATAATTCCAAATTGAGACTCGGGGAATCCCATAATAATTAAGAAAATTACAGAATATCAATAAGATACTGCAAGAATATAATTCATGGAATGGCAGAATATGATGTGTTTCAAAGAACTCCACAATGAGCTACAGAATTCAGAGCATACTGACATACGAATCGAAGAATCTCAGCAGCTGGTTTAGAAAATTCGGAAATGAGGTTTAGAAAATCTTAGAACGAAATATACTGAATCGCATAATATTGGTCGATGTATTCTAGACTATCACTATGGGAAATTGATTGAATTGTTCATATTACCATTCAGTTCCAGCGACGGCGACGATAGGCTAGATTAAAGTATTGTGTTCATGTATTGTAGTTATGTTTAAATGATGATGATGATGGTGGTCCCACCTCTTACCCCTACAAAGGTTTGAGCTGGACGATTTATCTTTAAGGTAATTAAATAGGACATTTTAACCAGGTTATCAAACAAAATCGAACTGGTTACAGTTACAGATATAAATTCTCTCTAGAGCTTACAGTTGCTTCACAGCGATATAAATGTGGAAAAGTTCAGGTGTCCACCACTTAGTTCGCCTTTTTGTCGACCTAAAATAATCATACATTCATACAAGCGATCAAGAGTTAATGAACAATCAACAAAGCATCCTATCACACTAGCAACCCCGCAATCTTCCGCTCACGAACCCCGAACATTTGCCAGAAAACATACTACTAACTCAAGGTATCTTCCAAATAAGCTTCAAAATTCCTTTCTTTTATCAAATTTTAAATTCAGTCCTCCATATCCGTAATACGCGTGCGAGGCTCAAACCTTTGCAGACTACTTTTTTTAAATCTACTACTATTAAATCAAATATTAAAAATTCATCATCACCATCGTGGTCACCACCGTTTCCGTTCTATGATAATTCAAGACCAACAATTGAAAAGGCCTAAACTCCATGTTGTAAACAATCCTTGTAAAGCTATTTTGTCGCGAACCGAAGTCCGCCAACGCAAACCAACAAAATTGACAGGTAAGGGAAATTCTCTTCTTCCCGATTGTGTTTTAAGTTTG